AGTTGACACAAAAACCCCTTCTTTGTTGGGATGAATCATTTTCCAAGTGAAAATACATATTTAAATTTCCAAAATGCCTCATATCACAATGATGTGCATTTCCTAAATGGTTTATAAACTAAAAGTGCATTAATGTCAAATAATCTTCATTTATGCAATAAATCATCAAAACGATACATCCTTATGATTTATTTATCAAAATGTCCTAAACCCAAAATGTAGACATTTTACAGAATTTATAAATTCAAATGTACCATAATACAAATAAATCACACATTTGATAAACATCGAGTAAAATATCTTAAGAGCTCAAAATAAATGTTTTTGGCATGTACAAAATTTTCACGAAACAACTTGAATTCACCTTACTAGATTTAGGCTAAATCTAGGTTTTACCCCAAATCTTGAGCTTCCTTTGGTGAATACTTGAAATCCTCAAGTTAGAACTTTAGATCTAAGTTGCAAAGCTCTCAAAACACTCCTTTGAATTTCAAAACCCTAACAAGACACCACAAAATGGAGAAGAAGGTTGGGGATGCAAAGTAGCCAAACCCTACGTCAAGAAATGGCTTGGAACTTACCTTTCAACTTATAGGAGCCAAAAATCATCAACATAACTTTATTCCTCTTTGTTCTTCCCTTAAAGAACTTCAAAAAAAGAAACCACAGCCACCAAAATCACCCAAAATAGATGAGAAATGAGTGAGATATGACCAAACGAAACCCCCCCCCCCGCGCCGAAAATCAACCTTAAACAACATTTCAGACCGTTCCTGCGACCTTGGCGGCGAACTATGCCGCGGGCCAGGTCGCCCATGCCCAAAACAGAAAGTACCATGACTCATACCGCATGTCAGGGTGGGGTCATGCAGTGTGCGCCGCATGTCAGCTGTTTTTTTGGCTGTTCACCGATTGTTTTCTCGGCCGTTTACCGACCGTTTTTCACAAATTTATATTTTAATGGCTATAAGGAAAATATGGGTGTTACATTTAGTACATTTATTGAATTCAAATTTTGTTACAATTTAGATAATATATACTTCAAAATAAAGATGCAATTTATTTTAGTTTTGATGATTGAATATTCTCTCATATTAGGTTCAATGTTTATCATAGATTTAAACTTGTTTATCAATTAGTTATAATGAAGTTCAAATGTAGAACTTTAAAAAGTTATAGGCATATAGTATAAATTGTAAACTTGAATTTAAAGACATATTCATTAATGTGTAGCATATAATTCTTAATAAACTGTTTTTAATAGTCTTTATCAAAATGCTCTAAAAAAGATAGTAATCATACCTTTTTTATAAAAGGAATTTATTATTACTTTTAAATATTACCCAAGTCCACGTCGCTTTCTTTAGTATAGAAATCGACCACCGCCCCCACTCCATTACCTACCAGAGCCGGGAATCCCGCCCCCATATCTAGTCGTTTGACATACAATGATATTTTAAACTGACGTATTTATAAATACTTTTGTAAAACTTCAAATTGACTAGAAAATATTAAAAAAATCAAATTCTTGTAAATAAACTCCCATTGTTTACTGGTATCAGTGTTTGTTGAACATCATCTTTAATATCCTTTAATCGACCAAAAATAGCATAAACACTAGCCTTAGCTAATTTAAAGACATGGCACAAATAGATATTGTTTACCTATCCTTCTTTCAATTAGGGGGTGTTTGGGATTGCTTATAAAAACAACTTATTGACTTATTCCGGTGTGACACCGGCAATAAGCACTTTCAAGTGTTTGGATAAAACCGGTGTCAAACCGGTAATAAGAAGTTTTTGAAAAAGTTAAACATTTCTAACTTATAATAAGTTGATAAGTTCTTTTTGTAGAAAAACATAAGTTGTTTCAAAGAAGCAATCCCAAACACCCCCTTAATCTTCAATAGTTAGAGAATTGATTGTTTTTATAAAAGTTCGATTCTTGTATTAAATCCAAACTATACGTCTTTTTGTATTCAAAAGGAATAGAAACAGATAAATCAATTTCCACACGTACACCATGTAACAAGTTGGTGGTTCATACAAGTTTGGATGACAACTGTAAAAAACTCGAAAAAACAAAGCATGTTCTCATGAGTAAAAAGTAGAAAGCGACTTTGAAAAGGACACCGATTACAACGTTTTGCATAATTTCTTTTATCACACTCAAAATCCATAAAACCATCTGGCGATCATTAAATGAGATGTATTCAAATACGTAAATCTCGTTGTTCCAATCTTTAGCAAAATCCTATACCAAGCGCAATTTCATAGATATCACATAAGTTGACTATTAAAAGATGAATCGATTACTATATCTGTTTTCAAACATAAAAGTATATGAAACTAACAGTCAAAAGCATCCATCAATGATCATTGAACAAACATTTTGACACGCCATGTTAAGTTCGTAAATGAAGTGCTTTGCATCGATTTTTTTCTTGGACGATCATATTTCATGTCACTTTTTGATGCATAACGATGCCTCCTCTAATCACACAAACAAGAAGAAGATTTGGCACAAGCAAATTTCGGTAACAACATAATATATATGAGTTTAAAAATGGAGCTTTATAAACAAAACGAGAATACTGGATAACATATAACTTGAGAAACCATAAATCTCGAACAATATAGGTGTAAACCTTACAATGGTTAAGTTTTAACCCATGTAGAGCAATAAGAGAAAGGAATCAAATAGGATAAGGATACATAAGCCAACGATCGATCAAGTGAATATATATTCAACATTACCTAAATGCTTACCCGGTAAGTGCTTACTGATAGGATTCAACATTATAATTTATTTTGATACGTAAGATTTTGGTACATCAAAACATATCGAATGTAACAAGTTACTGGGTAAGTACTTAATTGGGTAAGAGTCGTCATCCTTACTTACCAGATAAGATTCTCTATCCTTTTCATTGCTCTTATCTAGTAACATTCTTGGCCCTTCTCATGTTCATCCGATAAGAAAATTTATTCGGTAAATAGTTACCAAGTAAATGTTTAGTAAACGACCCGTAAGAAAACTACTCCACCAAATTAATAAGAGATATGACTTTTATTATTATTATCGTCCCTGTGGGTTTATTAATAATTTTGATTTTTGTCCTTGTAGTTTATAAGTTGCAGTTTTCGTTCGTATGGTTTGCAATTTATTGTTATTTTTGTCCTTAAAATCATTCCTACCTTTAAGTACAACAAAGCAAAAGAGTAAATAATTGTAACACAAGGGCTGAAACAACAATAGATTGTAGATCATAAGAACGGAAAAAGCAATGAACTTCAAATCATAGAAATGAAAACTGTAATTTCTAAACTATAGGGATGAAATTTGCATTTTTGACAAACTACAGGGACTAAAATCGTAATTACTCTTGAGATATTTAACCAAATATAAAATAGAAAACGTGACTCACAATAAATAGAATACGAAATTTTGTATTTCATGACCTTGAAAATTGATGTTTATTCACCATGATTATCAGTTTATCATTACAAAGAGAATATAGTCTCCTTTATACAAAGATTAATATATACTTATAAAATTTTATATTATATTTTTTTTAAAATTATGTTTTTTTTTTATCATATATTCAACATAATTTATACCATATCATAAAACATGTAAGATATAGTTTTAAAAACTACTTTTTATGCATCAAATGCTTTATTTATGAATTATTATTTAAAATTCAAGGATTACAAATAAAAGATGAATGAATACAATATTTTAAAGTTGTTTGTTTGAATTCATATAATTAACAGATAAATATAATAAAATACATGATAAACATCTCATTTTTTAAATAGAAATACTACAATCATTGAGTCCTAATAACATCTCTGACAAATTCTCTATAATAAAGAAAATCAACTTTTTATAATGCTCCAATAACTTTCATATATCATTCTTTAAAATAAAAAATCATAAATAAAACTCCAAATATAGAGAATTTTCTAAAAATCCAAATAAAAGAAATAGAGAAATGAGTTCTTTTTATTCATCTCATCAATGAGTGTTGAATTAATATCATTTTATATATATTTTAAAAAAATGTATTAGGATTATAAAATATTTAAATAATATAATCAATGATAAAATTTTTAAAATAGATAAGTTATTGGAGTTGATCCTAATTTATTTTAAAAGATTTTGAATTTTAGTTATCCATTTTAGAGAAAGTATAGAGAATCTGTTGTAGATCCTCTAATAATACATAATATTATATTTGTAAAAAAAATCATATAAATATAAATTAAATTATAATAAAAATTAAATCAAATAAATTATATAAATTAAAAACTTTTAAATTATTAATTTGATATTAACATCAATATGTTTTTTCAAAATTTAATGTATTTTTAAGTTATATTTTATTTATATATAAAAAATTTATTTTTCTCAAAATTATGTAAAATCAATTATAAAATCAGACAAAAAAATATTAAAATCAAAATAGAAAAAGTAAAAATAAAAATCAAAAATAAAAATCAAAATCAAAATAATGACACAGTACACTTCTAGATTTTTTTAAAAAGATATATAGAATTAATCCCTCAAAAATTTAAACTCTTTAATTGCGAAACGTTTTTACCGTCCAGGTTTTATAATAATCCAATAAAAAACGGAAGGAAGTTCGGGTCGGGCCGTCCCTCATTGGGACCACACCCGTGTCAGAAAAGGAAGCTTGTTCCCTGAACCCTGCAGTGTCCACTTCTTATTGGGCCACGTGCCCTTCACCAAACTACTTTCCACGTGGCACTCTATCGTATCACCACCAAAAAGATTTTATTTCTAAATCAACGGCCAAGATTTGGTCCTCGTGTCAGATATCTACGTCATACCAACTATAGGTCCTGCCCAGGTCGGTGACGGGCAGCTGCCCGTCCCCACCACTCCTCCAGCAGGTATTATTGGTAATGGTCTTTCCCCTTCTTCCCAAAAACTTCATTTTCGATAATAATAAGTTCTCTCCCTCCATCCAAGATTTCTTCTATCTCACTGTTTAAGTTTATATTTATATTCTTGGCAACAGATTGTAACTGGGAATTGTTCCTACTCTTGGGAGGATTTGGAAAGCAATTTCTTGATTTTCCGGTGAATTTCACTTGATTTGCACATGGCCGGTATGTGTTGTGGGGTTGTTGGTGAGACAGAGACTCCATCCACGGTTGAACCGAGTGGTGGTCGTCAAGCGAGGCGTCGGAGGGTGGATATTCATCAGCTTAAATTCCTTGCCTCCGACGTGGTGGCGCCGCTGCCGGGGAGCGGTAGGAAGCGAAGGAAGGTAGAAAGTCTAGAGATGATTGGCAATAACGTTGATGCCAAGGCACTAACTACGCCGCTAGAGTGCGAGAAGGTAGTTCAGCCGTGTCATATGAAGCTGAAGGAAGAGGGTCATCTTGGAAGTTCGTCGGAGACGGAGACTGTGTTGAACCCATGCAAGTTGTTGTCGGAGACTGTTGGCGAGACTGTTCGGGATGAGGAATCATCTAGATTTGGGATCACGACGGTGTGTGGAAGGAGGAGAGATATGGAAGACGCCGTTGCTGTGAAACCGTCGTTCTCTAGTGATCTACACTTCTACGGTGTTTACGACGGACATGGATGCTCACATGTAAGACTTGTGTCATAAATTCTTCTAGCATGAGAATAGGTTTCTAAGAAACTACTTTCTAAATACTGGATTATTTGTTAACTTGTGCAGGTGGCGATGAAGTGCAAAGATCGAATGCACGAGATAGTGAAGGAGGAGGTGGAGAATAGCGGGGAATCATTGGAATGGAAAGAGACGATGGCGAAGAGCTTCTCACAAATGGATAAGGAGGTGACGGAGTGGAGTGAAGGTGCTTCAAGCTCGAATTGTCGTTGCGAGCTTCAAACTCCCCAATGCGACGCCGTTGGATCCACGGCCGTTGTCGCCGTGGTGACTCCCAACGAGATCGTTGTCTCAAACTGCGGTGATTCCCGTGCCGTACTTTGCCGGAACGGCGTTGCGATTCCTCTCTCCTCCGATCACAAGGTATATGATCTTTACGAGTATTCTAATAATTTCCTCGATCTGGATCTGGCAGAATGCATCGCTGATTTAGGATTTCCTTTCCATTTGTGTATAGCCTGATCGACCAGATGAACTCACTCGAATAGAAGAGGCCGGCGGACGTGTGATTTACTGGGACGGCGCTCGAGTTCTCGGTGTGCTAGCCATGTCCCGAGCAATAGGTATATTGTTAATCCAAGAGCTACAACCTTTGGATCCGCGATTTTACACACGAAGCTGACTATTCTGTCTTCATTATCTTTTCAGGCGATAATTATTTGAAGCCGTACGTGATACCGGAACCGGAGGTAACCGTAACGGAACGGACGGCGGAGGACGAATGCCTAATTTTAGCCAGCGACGGGCTGTGGGACGTAGTGTCCAACGAAGTAGCATGTAGCGTCGCACGCATGTGCTTGAACTCGCAGAAGCCTCCATCGCCACTGCGGTCGCCGGGAAACGAAGTCAACGTCGCCGGCGGCGAATATTCTGACAAGGCCTGTTCAGATGCGTCGATACTTTTGACGAAACTAGCTTTGGCTAGACGGAGCTCAGATAACGTGAGCGTCGTTGTGGTCGATCTGAGAAAAAATCTATAACAAACATCCGAGTTAGGGAAATTTCATGAGATCTTTACCAATTAACATCGATTGATTGTTGAGATATGATCTTGATCCGATCAAATATACGTATATAAGTCTATAAAGAAAATTAATATCATGAATTGCAGTTGAATTTGGAGTTTTGAATCGAATGAAATTCGTAGAAACCATGGGAAGTGGTGCAGGTGGTGGGTAGATGGATTCGAATCCTTTGACATGATGAGGAGGGCGGCAGAAGTCAGCGGCAGGTGCAGCCACGTCTACCCTTTTTGTATGTGCATTTGGTCCAAACTATATGCTGGATTCCACCCAAATGTCAAGTTATTACACTTATGAAAACTGTAATTTCGTTGACTGTCAACGTTTACAAGCCTTGTTAAAAACAATGGAGAACTTGACACGTGTTGATATTCGTGAGGGCATAAGAGACATGGTTTTAGTAGTTTTTGGTTCTTAATAAAAAAATAAGTTTAATATATTAATTTCATTGAATATACAAAGAAAATAGAAAATGGAGGGAAAATAACGAATTATATTTGAATAATAAAAAATTGTTTTAGATATTTGTTCCTCTTTAACTTTGCATGCATAAGTTTCTTTTAACCGTTTTTTGGTTTGGTTGTTTAAACGTTAAAATTTAATACTATTATTTATTTATTGGATAAGTTTTTAGTTAATAAAAATAATATTATATGTAATGATTTACCTAATAAGCTCTAATTGTAATAAGAGTTGTTGTTCTTAATTAACGGATAAAACTCTTGATCCTTGTCTCGTTTATATTAAGTAAGATTTTTGATCCTTACTATATTAATTTGATAATATATTTACCCAAATAAATATTTGATAAATGGACTCTAAATTAATATCAACTACAAAATACAAAATATTTTGTAGTGAAAATCTTTATTTGAAATAATTGTCATAATTTTGATTGATGGAAATGGTGTGAATGTTTATACAATATCTATATATTATATTATAAAGCATTTGATAAAAAATTTTAAAAATCATTTTTTATGTTTTAAGTACTGTTTATAATGCATATTACTTAAAATTTAAGATTGCAAGTAAATTGTGTGTAAGTACAATTTATTAATATTATATTTTTAAATTCGTATAACTAACTGCAGATAAACATAATCAAATATATGATAAACATCTCATTTTAAATATAAAAAATCTAAAATATAAATAGAATAATCATTGAGTTCTAACAGAATTATTATCTTCATTAAAATTATATTATTAAGTCAAAAAATAAATTATTTCACTATTAGACCTAAATTAAATTATAATAAAAAATTGAATTGAAGAAATTGTACAAAAAAGGGAGCTTTTAAATTGTTAATTTAACATTAATATCGATGTACTTTTTTAAATTTTTATGATTTCTTCAGATTTATTTTTATTCAAAAGTAAAAACATTGTCTTTCTCAAAACCACATAAACTGTATTATATCAACAGAGAAAAAAGATAAAATGAAACATTAGAACGAATATGTATCTTGCTGCATTGCGCGAATACCCTTCTAGTTGATTATAAATGTGTTTTAGGCCTTGTTTCTTTTTCATAAAAAAGTTTTTATCAGTTCTTTATGTCTGATTTGTTAAGAGGCAAAGTCATTCAGACTATTTGTTTTTTCTAATTTTTAAGTGGAACTTATGTCTTATTTTCCTCTTATCTGATAAGAGGTAAACTGACCTTTTATTTGTCTTTTATTGTTCTTCAAATATTCAACAACAACGTTTTTCAATCGATTAACCTTAATCTATAATTTCTCTGAATCGATCATTTACCAAATAATCATCACTTCTCTCAATTAATGTATTTTAATAGGATGTAAATGCGTTAAACACCGTTAATGACATCTTTTCATTTAAATGAATGTTAATTATATAATTTAAATGTAAATTTCATAATGATGATGAATAAATATGTGAAATTTTATAAATTTATCTATAAATTCAATACTATAATTTTTAATGGGTCAACAAATTCAGACATTTATCAATTTACAAAAATAAATAGTCTTCTTGATTCAGATTTCAGACTTCAACACCAACTCTTATAAATCAGAAGTAAAATAAGACTTCAGACTTCAACACATCTTAAAAAACAAACGTCACCTCAAATGAGGATTCAGAGGGATGCTCTTGAGGCTAAGGATATACCATGTAAAAGGTGGGTATTGCTATTTATACTCATTTAACGTCAAAATCGGGTCAATTCATGTATTGAAAATGTAAAAAATGAGTTTCTGATGTTGATGCGATGATGAGGAAAGTACTAAGCAAGGGTGCATTTACAACGTATAAGGGTGCAATTAGTCTCGTCCAAGATTGTTTAAATAAGCAGGAGAGATAAATGTTTTAACATGTCGAAGGGGTTCATTTTGATAATATCACAACATCATAGAAGATTATATTCTTGGAATTCATTTGATCGTTTGTTATCTTGGGGTCATTTATTTTTTTCTTTTGTCGAGTATTTTGGACCAAGTTCTGTTAGTGATATTCAATTAGAAAGTAGATATGAAGTTGTGTTTTTTTCTTCTCCACAATTTTCAAATAGATTCTTTGTAATGATTGAAAATGATAATCACGTCAATGCAGATAAATGATAACAGAATCTTCGAGAGAACATATGCTTATGCTGCTTATTTATCTGGTGGGTAAGTAGTCTTGAGATTCTAACAATATAAGCATTAGATGCTTAGGCGACAAGTCGACAGCTCAATCTAAGATCAAACATTTGCTCGGTACCACAAAGCACTAACAAACGGATCTTTCTTGTAAAGTCGGATCAAAATACTCTTGAGCTAGTCCTGTTTAGTTATTAATGTGATAATATTCGATAAATATAATATTTTATAAAGCAAAATTGTATGGAAATATAAAAGATAAATACATGGTAGACAGTTTCAACCGGCACATAAAGAAAACAAACTTATAATCAATTGGAGAATCCTTGCTTTCTCTCATTCATATGTGCCAAGTATAAAATATCACATTGATATAAATTAGGTTAGGATTGGTGATTAGAAATAATCACGTTAACTGACTAGGAAATATACAATCTAAATGTAGAAGATAAATATGAATTTATGGTACATATCTTTAACATACCCCCGCAATCGAAGCGGGAGGCTGTCGAATGCTGAGATTATCTTGAAAATTATCAAAGAAAACATGCGATAAGCCTTTAGTGAATATGTCCACAATTTGGTAATGAGATGGCACATATAGGACTCGAACTTGACCCTATAGGCTACTTTTTCTCGAACAAAATGGATATCCATTTCTATGTGATTAATGCGCTGATGTTGCACGGGATCACCGGGGAGATAGATGGCACTTACATTATCGCAGTAAACTAGTGTCGCTTTTGAAATGTGATAATGTAATTCTAGAAGTGGGTTGTGTAGCCAACATGATTCAGAGACGTGGCAACTCCCCGGTATTCAGCTTCAGCACTGGAACGAGATAGAGTGGGTTGGCACTTTGAGGACCATGAGATGAAGTTGTCCACAAAAAATACACAAAATAGTAATATGTAGATCATTTAATGTCAGGACAACCACCTCACTCAGCATCGGTATAAGACACAAGGCTAGTAAGAAAAGATTTGTATAGATGTAATCCATAATCAAGTGTGCCTTGTATGTATTGCAAGATGTGTTTAAGAGAAGTCATATGGTCATCTTCCGATCATGCATATGTAAGTATACCTGTTGGATGACATAATAAATGTTGGGTCTCGTAAAGGTGAGATATTGTAATGTGCCCGCAAGACCGTGATAATGAGAAGGATCGACATATGGAGGTCCAGATGAGATGCTTAACTTGGTTTTGGTATAAACGGGATTAGGTGCTCAATATGTCATTCCAGGTATTTCAAATATTTCTTTGGCGTACTTATCGGGCAAGAGTCTTCACCCTTATTTACCACGCAAGATTCTTGGCCCTTTCTAATGCCTTTTACATGGTAAGATTCTAGGTCCTTGCAATATTCATCCGAAAGATAAGTGACGCAGGAAAGCGTTTATCTGTAAACAGACTCTAAATTATCGATTATTAAAACTTAAAAAATGTAAAATGAAAATTATAACCCTTTCCAAAAAAAAAGTAAAATTAAATAATGATTCTTTAATTGTCATTTACTTGATTGTTCCAAGAAACCATAATTAGTAGGAGCGTTAGCATTTTCAATTTATAGGTCATATTTTTTTTTTTGTAAGGGTGTCTGGGCCAAAGCCCGACTAATCCCCGGCAATTTTGGAGGCTAAACATGGCCCCACTTAAATGTCGTCAACACTCCATTCCCAGGGCTCGAACTCGGGTTCATGACTATGCCATGCCCAAGCCTTTACCACTAGGCTGGAAGGTCTTTGACATAAATCGTATTTATATTATCTTCACAAGTATTGTATGCTTGTTTTGAATTCTTTAAAAGCTTTTGACCATTTTTGTCTTCACAAGAGACTAAAATTTCTGGTTGCTTTCACCTTTTTGGTCTAAACTCTATCGGTGTATTATAATGACATGTATTTTGATCTACAATTGAAGAATACAATAAATGGTAAAGAACAACTTTTCAACAAACTTGCACTTAAGATCGAAATGCTTGATACAAAGATTTGATAACAAATAGAAGCACTCATGGTCTGTTAGGCAGACAAATGTTTCAACTTTTCATGTTAATTCATATAAATTTTAAGACCGTCAGTCCCTTCTCTCGTCTATCATCAGACCAAACCTTAGTCTGACGATGGACGACGGGGAGGTCCGTAGATAATGACTCAGAAGATGAAAATAGACAGATAAAGAGAGGAGGGTCTATTTATTTTTGTCTTACGAAATTGAAATTAACTTTTATGCCCTTTTGATATTATTCCTAAAAGATTCCAAGAAGTTGTTATTCAGACTTTCTTCTTGCGCAGGAAGGACCAAACAGCCGGGGAGCCAGAGCAAATCTTTCCGTTGAGGCGGTGGGCATGGTAATTAGTAGACTGCGGTGGTTGGTGTTGTGGTGGCCAAAGGAAGGCCCCCATTGCAAACTCTCTCTTGGACTCTAAATCACGGTGGCCACTGGCAGAGAGACCGTATTGAGCAAGTAATCGGTCCAGCATCCACTCCGGAAGCTCCTTGTACTCCTCCTTTGTGTACCTCGGGTAATGAAGTGGCATTTGGAAATTAGAACCACCACTGGCGGTGATGATATTCTTTCTCCGGCCATCCATTGCCACTGTAGGTTTGGTGGATTAGTTGTTTGATGGTGGTGGTGGGTTTATATATGGTGGCCCGGTTCATGATAATTTGATGGTTCACCTTCTCATGTAGTAGTTAAAGGTTCTTCTAACGTGATTTATATTAGCCTAAGTGGGAATATGAATTTGGAACCACTTTGAGGGTACACATCGAGGGGTTAAACTTGTTTACAGTTATTTTAAAACAATCACGGTTTTTATCATGCATTTACATGTTGTTTGATAAATTACTAAATAGACATTAAAAGGAACGATACTTAAAAATTGGTTTGTAAGGTTGTAAAATAAATACAACATATGTAGGTATTTGGATTGGAATGGATTTGAAATTATTTGTGTGTTTGGTTTGTAGGATTTGTAAGGGAATTAAATTATATTATTTATAAATAATTTATATAAAAATAATTAGATTACATTTCTATTTTTCGATTATTGCAAAACAAATGTCTTTAACATTTTTTAGAACCTTACTGCATACAATCTTACCACATCCAGTGAAATCTCGAGCACCTCCAGAGAATTTTAAATCATTCTAATTCCATATTCTTCCACTTCCAAATCTTTCCACATAATTCAAATATTTTTGCAGATCGAAGGGGCCCTTGATGTGTCGTTATTTTATCGGTGGTAGTGAATTTAATTATATATTTTGTTTCTGATTTGGGATTTAGTTATATTTACGTTTATTATTTGCATCCTCAAATATTTAACCAAGTTTAGAATGTTTTTGTTTAACGAAAGTTTATTCCACATTTGTTATTTACCGTTGTATTATTCCTATCAAAAGATTTTAGAAAACGAAATTTCACCATCCTAGCAAAATGTGACACTTTTTTCTAATTGATCCAAAAAACGCTTAATTAATTGAACTCACAAAGTTATATATTTAGCAATTGGTAATCACTACAAAATATTAATCATGTAAGACTATTTGTCTATATCTATATTATATTATAAAATATTTGATAAAAACTATTTTTTATGCATGAAGTACTGTATATTGATACATATTACTTAAAGTTCAAAATTACAAGTAAATTATGTATAAGTACAACTTATTAAAGCTTCATATTTGAATTCGTGTAACTAATTGCGGATAAACATAATCAAATAAAAGATAAATATCTCATTTTAAAATATAAAAAATCTAAAATATAATTAGGATAATTATCGAGTTATAACAAAATAATTAATTATTATTTTTATAAGAAAATTATATTATTAAACAAAAAAAATAGGAATTCTAAATAGTTAATTTGATACTAATATCGATATATTTTTGTCAATTTTTTATGATATTTTCAAGTTTATATTTTATTCAAAAACAAAAACATCATCGCTTTTTCAAAATCACATAAGACCATATTATAACATCGACTGAGATAAAAAATAAAATGAAATATTAAAATCAAGATGTATATCGCTGCATTGTGCGAATACCCTTCTAGTTTATTTAGTTTATTTAAATATCTTTTCGTGAAGATAATTTATCTCTCAATAATTAATAAATCTTAGTAATTCAATTTGCTGATTATGACTCAACGTTGTATTTGTCTTTTAACAATGACTTCATATTTTTCTATTTTTTCTCTCCTCATTTAATCGTTCTTCTTCATTAGGGTTGATGTAGGGCAAATGACGGAAAGATAGAAGAGAAGATCAAGCGTTGTTGGACTAACCTAGTTTGCTCTAGATTTGGTGTTGGTTGTTTGATTGACTATTAAAATATTTTTTTAGCTAGTGTTTGACATGCAGACAGGACTTGATAGGACAAAAGGATAGGACTTGACATAATAGAATTGGACAAAACAAGTGTCTGTCTCGTGTTTGGTACGACTAGGATTGGACATGTCAGAACTAGATAAGTTGTCTCCAAAAGTTAATTTATGATTTTATATATCATATAATAGTTATAACCAACACAAATAAAGTAAATAATTTAATTTATAAACATTTTAACACAATTTTCATATACATAAATATAAAATAGTACCAAATTTGAATGATAACTTTTATATAGTTGATGGTATTTTTATAAAACTTGATTCATACAAAGGATAAATTATATTTTATTCGGTTTGGAAGATCCTTATCAATGGGTGAAGGCATGGTAAAGATTGTTGCAACAACAATGGTTGTGGAGGTAGAAACACTGGTAATTGGTGGACGATAGTGGTTGTGGAGGACGTCAAGATGGTGGATAGCGGTGGTGGTGGAGGTTGATAGTGGTGGAGGAGGTAGTCGTGGCCCATGTGGTGGAGGTAGGTGTGATGGTAGGCAGTGGTGGTGGTTATGGTGGAGGTGGTGGTGGCTGATGATACAGTGGTGGTGGAAATGGACAGTTATGGTTATGGAGGGCATGAATATGGTAGATAGTGTTGGTAGCCGGTAGTGGTGGCAGACAGTGGTAGTGGTAGCCGGTGGTGGTGGTGGGCAGTGGTAGTGGTAGGCAATGGTGGAGGTGAGGTAGCCCATGGTGGTGGCGATGAACGGCCTTGGTCGGTGGTCGACGATGGTTGTGGAGGTGGAGGAGGAGGTTGTAGTAGAGGAAAAGGTGGAGGTGGCCAACGGTGATAGTGGTGGTGGCAATGGACGGTGGTGGTTAGTGGACGACGATGGCTGTAGAGGTGGTGGAGGAGGTTGTTGTAGTAGAAGAGAATGTGGAAGTGGCCAACAGTGGTAGTGGAAATGGATGGTGGTGGTAGGTGGCTGATGGTGGTTGTGGAGGTGGTGATAGACGGTGGTAGTTGATGGTCAATGGTGGTTGTGCGGTGGTGAAGGAGGGGGAGGTCGCCGACTAGAAGTTGTGATCACTACAACAAATACCATGTTAAGGTTATATAACACACGAGGGTTAGTTATAGTATATTTTAATTTCTCTCTCATTCTTATCCCATCTTGTTCCACCTATTTTGGTGGAACAAGAAAATGTTTTTCTTATCCCGCGCTGTCCCACCTTGTCGCAGTTCTTGTCCCTGTCCTATGTCGTACCAAACGTGCTTGTCTTGTCCCATGTCGCACCAAACACAGTGCGTTTTGTCCTGTCTTGTCCTTCATGTCCTCTCCCATGTACCAAACACATCCTTCGGCAATAAAATGGGCGAGCAGATCAAACTCATTTGTCATGACATATGAGCTTTTTCAATCATTTAGGCTCGTTTCGAACCTCAAAATATGGTTTTATGTTTTCAATAAGATTCGTTTATATATTCTTTTTAAGCTTGTTTTATTTTCGACCACTGGGCCATAAGCGTGCTTGTTACTTGCCCTAGGTATTTAGTTTTCCCCTCTTTAAACACCCTTAAGGTGTTATGGGTGTCATGAATTCATCATTATTAATCATATTTTTTTAGTTTATTGTTAGGGTTGATCATTTGTTAACCCACTTTGTTTGTGTTTTCCACTGCCTCAAGTGTTTTAATCACTTTTTATAACCATGGGTGTCCCTCTTGATTATTCCATAGGAACCTTAAGTTAGCAGACATACAAATCTCCAATGATCTTAAGCAGAGCTGAATCCAAGTATTTTTCGAATTGGTATCACAAAATAAATAACATAAGGACCTAAAGTTTTATTTCATAACTTTTCATATGAAGTCTTTATGTTTATGTATTCACAAAGAAAACTAAAGGTTGCACATTTAGGTAGGGTTTGGTACGTAGAAATGATGGGACATGACGGAACAAATGTAAGTCTAATATTTGGTACGACTAGGACTGGATAAGACCAAATTAGACAAATTGCCCCTCTAAAACTTATTTAATGATTTTATATTTTATATAATAGTTATAAATGGCACAAGCAAAGTAACATTTAAATAATTTAATGTATAAACATTTTTACACAATTTTCATATATATAAATATATACATATATAATACTACCAAATTGAATGAAAATTTGAAATAATTGTCGATAGTTCAAAACAATCTGATTCATACAAAGAAAAAACTATGTTTTATTCGGTTTGTAAGGTCCTTATCAATTAACTGAGGCACGGTGAAAATTGTTGTAGCATTAATGGTTGTAGAGGTAGAGACGATGGTGGTTAATAGACGATGGTGGTTGTGGAGGACGTGAAGATGGTGAACAGTAATAGTGTTGGTGGTTAACAGTGGTGAGGGAGGTTGTTGTAGCCAATGTGATGGAGGTAGTGGTCGTAGTGGGGAGTTGTAGTGGTAACAAATAATTGGGGTAGAGGTGGAGATGGTGGTGGCTAATGGTACTAGCGGTGGTGGCGACAGTCAATGGTGGTCGGTTACCGAAGGGTATATTTCAAATACCCTAGTCTGGGATGATAAAATTAACAATATTGCTTAAATTTTATATTTCTATTCTGAACCTATTGCTCCTTAGCCTGGCAACTACAGTAGTGCCTCGTACTTGTAAAAGAGTATCATAATACAAGCATCAAGATAACAAAAAGAACTATCATAATACACGCATCAAGATAATAAGAAAAAAACTATCATCATACACCCATCAAGATAAAAACTACAATGAAGCCATCAAATTTGAGTGTGAGAAGTACAAGGTTTGATTCTCTAAAATCACAAGTTTAACTCTTTTTCGCGACTTATAGAGTAACTAACAATGTCTCAGGTAGGAAATGAAACCTTCAGTGAACATCTTGTTTCTTGATTGAACACGTAAAGGAACGTTGTTTGAATTATGTAGGAAGTAAAGCATAAACACAAACATAGGAGTCTCATGCAAATGTGGTACACTTGGTTTTGGTAACAGGGTGATTACGGAATTCCATAACTGTAATGGGTATCTGAATATAGTGGTTCTTTATTTATGATATCTCATGGTGTGTTTAGATTTAGTTGGGTCACAAAATGCTAATAGATAGCATCTCTTATCTTCTAGGTTAATTTACTTTTTATTTTTTCATGAAAGTTGAGATTGTAGTGATAATGAATCTCATACATTTATTGATCGAATGAATGATAAAAATTTGGTCTCATGGACTAGTATGATCCGTGCTCATTGATATACATTTTGAATTCATTGATATACATTTTGAATTCATTGATGCAAGAATGTG